GCCGACCCCTTTCAAGTCAATCACGGATGTGCGAAGTTTCCTCGGAACCTGTGGATTTTGGCGCATCTTCATCCGCAGGTTTGCCGCCAGAGTGGAGCACTTGCGAAAGCTTGTGCGCAAAGGCCAGAAGTGGGGATGGGGTCCGAAGCAGCAAGCGGCCGTGGAAGACATAAAGACTGAGTTCCGTGAGGGCGGATTGATCCTTGGAGTTCCTTTTTTTTGACGATGATGAAAAGTGTCATTTTGTTATTGAGACTGATGCGGGGCCCACAGCCCTAGGAGGGGTCTTGATTCAGAAGGATGATGAGGGGCAGGAAAGGCCTCTCATATTTGAGAGCAGGACTCTGAATGTTGCTGAGAGGAACTATTCCCAGTTCAAAAAAGAAACTTTGGTCGTGCTTCACTGCTTCCGCATCTTTCGGAATTATGTGTTCGGTAGACGCTTCATTCTGCGGGTGGATCCGACTGCATTGGCTCAATCCTTAAGGAATTATTCACCTGCTGATCCCACCATTGCACGATAGTTGACTTATATTTGGATGTTTGACTTTGAAATCGAGCGGATTTCGGGGAGTCAGAATCGTGTTGATGGGTTGAGTCGGGTTGAATGGGACCCAGAGGCGGATCAGGTGGAAGAATCAGTTCCGGCCGATGCCTTTCTGAAGGAAGAGGAGGCGCGATTGAGTATTAACACTCTTGCCTACCTGACTGATGCAGCCACTCGGCATGGGAAATCGATATGGAATGCTCCTGCCTTTCACGAGGTACGTCCAGAACTCGTGGTGGAGGAACCTTTCATCGAAGAGGATCCATGGGGCGAGCAGACCGCAGAGGAAATGATGAGGCTGGCTTTGACTGGTGACATCGACCTTATGCTTGATCCGCTAACGATTGAACAGGGCCATACGCGGGCTGATGACGCTTTCCAGATCGTTGGAAGGATGTCATATATCATGAATTTGTTGGTTCACGAGGATCGCCTGAGGTTAATGAATGCGGAGGAAGGAGGCGGTGAGGTCAAAGAAGCGTTTAAGGAAAAAGAATACGAAGGGGAATGTAAGAAAATAGGCATGTGGTTGAATGGGGAATTGGACGAAAGTGAGGTTGATCCAGTTGTGCGAGAGAAAAGCAAAGGATTCGTTGTTCGTGACGGTCATCTCTTTAAGAAGGTTCTTGATGGTGTCCCAAAGAGGGTGGTATGCGGGATCTCTCGGCAGTTGGATGTGATTGTTGCCCTGCATGATGGGATAGCCGGCGGACACAGATCTGCGCGGGTAACTTTGAACAAGATCCAACGTCTTTATGTTTGGGAAGGGATGAGCAAGATGGTGATTGACTTTTGTAAATCTTGTTTCCCTTGCCAGCAGAGGTCTAACATCCGCTATCTCGAGCCCCTGAATCCACGTTATGTGGCAGAACCAGGTGTGGTGGGGCATTTGGATATTTTGGTAATGCCACCTAGGATAAATGGATACAGATACATCTTTGATGCACGGGACAATTTGACTGGGTTCGTGGATGGTCGTGCCATTCGCGAACGTACTGGATCAGTCTTGGCAGAGTGCATTGAGGAATATTACCTCCGTTATCCATTTGTTCAAGAGATTGTTATGGATCGAGGATGCGAGTTTCGAGCAAAGGAGGTGCAAACGCTTTTAAAGAGACTTGGGGTGAGTTTCAGTTATACGACGAGAGCGCATCCCCAGGCCAATGCACCCGTGGAACGAGGACATACCACCTTGTCTAACTTGTTGGCTAAATGGTGCAAGGGGGAACCATCAAGATGACCAATTTATTTGAGGGCAGCCTTTTTTGTTGAGAATGTTACCATCAAGTGAACAACCGGGTATGCTCCCGTCACATTATGGTTTGGACGGCATGCGACTTTTCCGATTGAGAGTTTCTTGACCACTTGGCAGAAACAGGACGTGGAAACAAAACTCTCAACAAAAGAGTTGTTGGAATTGAGGGCAAGACAGATCATGGTGACTGAAGAATGGATTGAAGACGCGACTGTCTCTACTTCTGAAAGCAGGCAGGCTGATAAGGAAAGATGGGACAAGAGGCCACGTGTACGAAAAGAGTCGTTGGAAGTGGGAGACATCGTTTTGTTGTATGATATGTCGCTAGAAAAATAGTGGTCCAGAAAACTAGACAGTCGGTGGCGAGGACCATATCGGATCACTAGGAAAACAGAACACGGGGAATATGAAATAGAGGAGTTGAATGGATCTCGGAGTAGAAATTGGGTATCGGGTGCACATCTACGGAAGTTTATTTCAAGAGTTTAGTGAAAACTTTTAGAAAGGAAGGGTAGAGGAGGTAATTGGTGGCATCAATTTTGGTAACCTTCTTGCTTTCGTATTATGGTTCAGTTGGTTCTGACTTTTGTCTTAGGCTAACCAAGAAAGTTGTAAAGTATTAATTGAAGTATTGAGGTTGAAAAGTTATCAATGAGATTGTGACTCTTGTTGCAAGATGATTATGATACCAAAGGATTTTGTGAGATTCTTATCATGATTGGATGTTCATTGCAAGAAGTGTATCGTGAAATAGCTGATGGATACTTATATTGTTGAAGTGTTCATCATATATGAGAAGGACTGGAAAAAAAAACCATGGAATTCTTATGAGACTCCGTGTATGTGATTATGAATGTAAGAATTCGTCAGTGCGAGTCTAAGGGGATGATCTATACTTAAGTTATACGCCTGACTAGATTAACATGCGTTTATTCGTCAGGCATGTGATTCAATTACTTATCTTACCTTATGACTTGACTCTGTGTTAATTGTCATGCAATGAGGAATCGTAATGTTGCGAGCCTCGTAGACGGTAGTGAGGCCTGCACCGGAATTTTGTTCCTGGTCCATAGCGGGATGCTGTCATTTCTCTTTTCGAGGGGGATGGCTACACTATCATCGAAAGGGAGGAAGGTGGTAATATGTTTGTTGGAACCTGGCTTGTGAGGGTGGCGATTACCACTCGCCATGAGGGAAAGATTGATCACCTTTTCTTTTGTGGTGGATGGGGTCGCCTCGACTTTATGGCCGGGTCTGATCAGCTTAGGTCATAAGGGAGGGGTAGTTCAACCTTGCAGGTAGGGTACTAACGGATGTATGACACTGGAATCGGAGGGAAGGTGGTGAGGCTCGAGTCTAAAGCAGGGCTTGACGTCGAGATATTATCCTCCATGGATTACACCACTCCTCGACGCATTCACAAAACATGTAGGAGATAAATCATGCATGGTGATTAAGTTGGAGTGGGAATTAGCCGGACTGGACGAGGACTTCTGGAAGCATGATTTCTCTCTGGGATGGTACCGACACATGTTGTAATATAGTGTGAGTACCCTTGTGTTTCGTGGGGCGCCCAGGTTAAACTCCTGACAGCGAGAGACATGTAGAGGTGTTAGGAATGCACCCCCATGGACACGAGAGACCCATGTTAAATTCCTGGCAGTATGTGTTGTGTGACGAAAGACCCGCAGGGGGTTAAGCCTGAAGAGACCTAGACAGGGGGTTATAGCCTGAAGAGAGTCCCAACAGGGGGATAAGCCTCACCCATCTATGAGAGAGAAGAAGAGAGAATGAGTGGCCGCCAGTGGGATGACGCTGGGATCATTCTTCTAAAATGTTTTTGTAACTCCTCAGGTTGGATAAAGCCAACGGTGGATTCCAGGTTCCAGGGAAAGACCCGCCGGAGGTTAATTCTGGCCCCATTCCAACTCGTGACTKAATGAAAGTGCCTTCGAAGGAAGGTTCGAAAGAATCAAAAGGCTTGAAAGTAAGCCTCTGTATGTTAAAGGCTTGAAAAAAAGTCTCTATCTGTTTAAGGCTTGAAAGTAAGCCTCTGTTATGATTAAAAGTAAGTCAATGTTTGACGTATTGTGAGTAATGAAATATGCATGGACTATTTCATGGAAGAGTATCCAGGTGATTATAAAAGGAAAGAAAGATGAACGACGGAAACGTCACTTTTCATGAGTGAGTATGTGAGATCTGGATTAATTTCATATATAATGCGATTATATTATATAATTGGTGAGATCTTATAAAGACTTCCCCTTGTATTGCTTATGATAAGCGACGCGGACGTCGCTTAATGGGGACGGGGAAGGCTGTCGGGACAGAAACCCCCTGTAAGGGTTTCTGCCCGAGTTTTTCAAGGTCAGACGCTGTCCGACTTTTCGTTGGATTCGGAGACATGATGAGATTGACGTTGCCAAAGTTTATTCAGACCAAACCTATAATTGAGGGACCTAAAGCCTGACGTCGTTGGCATAGGACGTCGTTGACATGTGACGTCATCGACGTTTGTTCGGAGCAGCTGGAGTCGGCAGTACGACCGGTCGTCCGCGGTTCTCGACAAGGCCGCAGGGGTGCGTGGTTGTGGAAAGACTAGAGCTAGACCTAGTCTACCTAAAATAGGTCCGCGGCGCAGGGGGAAAAGTGAGTTTTATTTTTTTCTGGGACGTGGGGGTTGACTTCGAGCCAGAGGGGGCCGGCAGGTCGATGTCGCGGCGTACCCGTTGGGTGACCCTTAAGTCGTGGATGGGCAGCCATCCACAGGGGAGCGGCAGACAAGGCAGACAGGTGGGGCCTGCTGTGGTACAGGCTGGAGGGGACTGCAGGGCACAACTCTTCACAAACAGGAGTTGCTCCTTTTGGAGCTGGCATTTTCATAAGGCATTCGAGTGCGGCCGAACTCGGCCGATCGATCATGAGATCTCGTGGCTGAGATCAGCCGCGCGGAGCTAGTACGACCCCTGTGCAAGGATGAGAGGCACAAATCGAGAACTGGTTCGAGTCTTTTTTTTTGGATCCCAACTGGGATTGAACTTTGATCTGATCTAGCGGCCTACCTCAGTTGGTAAGGCACGCAAGTAGCATTCAATAAGTTTTGGGTTCAATCCCCATTGGTCTCATGTACCTTCCTGGGCAAGCTTGGTGCCCGCCACCTAAAGATATGTCGTTGGTCCCCCAGAGTGGCATTGAGCAGAGACTGCTGATGTTCATAGGGGGAGAGGACCGAAGGGGAGACACAGTGACTGGCCCAGCCAATAGGCTCGGTCCTGATGCTACGGGCTGACCCCTAGCTGGTATCGCCCACCTGCTGTAGCAGGTATCGCACTTGTTGGTGGGTGCAGCTCCCTCATGTTCCTTCGTTGGAGGCTTGGGCACGGATGTGGCTGCTATAGGGGTTCCCCGTAATACTATAAGAAAAAGAAAAAAAAAACGGATTTGCATCATATGAGACATGGCTGAAAAGCCACAGGGAGTGACGTGACAGTTGGCTTAGGCCAACGGAGAAAGAAAGAAAAAAAAAAGGGGGGTTGAAAAAATGAAGGGCTATGTGGAGCGCTGGGAAATGGCTGGGAACTTATAGTCTCCGAAGGGTGTTGCAGGCACCCGTTCTGTTTCCAAGGTGAGTTTTTTCTTTTGTTTTTTTTTATATATAGATTTTGTTTTAGATCTTTTCTAAATTTCTTTTCTCTTTAGATCCCTCCCTCTCGTTGCTTTCTACTACTTAGGGCCGAGGTCCCACCAGCAAAAAGGATAGGATCGAGTTTCCGAATCTAGATGGGTTTTATGCAGAGATGCAGAAAAACAGTTCAATCTCGATTTCTGCACTTCTCCATAACTTCGTCCAGATTCGGGCATATGACCCAATCCTCCTTGCTAGCTGGTGCCCGTTCGTTTCAACGAACAGGCCACAAAAAAAAAAAAGAAAAAAAAAAGGGAGGGAATCAAAACGCCACATGGCGTAAATGGAAGTGACTGGGCCACTTAAGTCCCCAGTGCACTTGAAGGTGCCCGTTCTGAACGGGAGACCGTTTGCAGGTAGGTCTGTTTTTTCCCTTTTATTTATTTATTTATTTTTTAGACTCCTTAGATTTTTTTTCAGATTGTTTTTTTTTTCCCTCTTTTCCTTAGCCCCCCCCGCTAACGTCGTAGCAGTGGACAGCTGCACCCGTTCGTATTTAGAAACAGGCAGCAACTGTCCACCATTGCCCGAACCAAGAGCTGATGGCGCCCAGATGCGGGCGCGCAGAGAGGGAGAGAAAGAGAGGGAGAGTGACCTTACCTGGCGGCCGTTGGTTCACGATGGCAACAGCCAACAGGTAAGTCATGCAAGTCGAGCAGCCCATTTGGCTCTGTGCCCGTTCACTTACTGAACAGGCTGCAGAGCGTCGCCTGCACCTGGCACCGTGGGCGTCCGGGTACGGGCGCGTTGGGCAAGAGGGGGAGACCCCTCTGAGCTTGACTCTAGTCCGACACTGTGAAATGGCTTGGTGAAAGGAGGCAGCTCAAAAACGAGCTGCCCCTTTCAAAAAGAAAAAAAAAAGAAGAAGAAAGGGGGAAAAAGTTGTGCACCTGGCTGTGGGTGCAGCACAGGTGCGCACCCCGTGGGATTGGACAGGCAGATGCCTGTTCGAAGTGAACAGGCTCCTGCACATGGTTGGATTCAGCCAATTTAAGGCCGAATCCGTCTTGAATGACAGACTAGGTGCGGTACCTGAGCCTGGGAGTGGTTTTCTCCACCCAGAGATCAAGTTTCAGCCCTTGATCGCGATGCAGATCATGGGCTGAGCTCAGATCCGAGTTTTGGCTGAGGCAAAGTGGCTGCCTCAGCCACTTCTCTGGCTATAAAAACAGCCTCCAGCCCCAGCAGCCAAGCATTCTTGGCAGCARTGCTGGGCTCTCACTTGTGAGATTGCTGGCTGGCTGCGGAGAAGTGAGGCGGAGSGGAGCTGCTGGCGGCGGAGGAGGAGGACTGCAGGAGGAAGGGGAAGGTGGCCATAGYTRTAKAATGCAGCCATAGCYGCCGTCACAGCGAGGAGGAAGGGAGGAGGTGCTGGAGGTSTGYAGGAAGGGTGAAAGGAGAAGGTGGAGGCTGCCATAGCCACRACCTTGGTGAAYARTGGGGTGCAGGGAAGGTRCTGCCCGTCRGGCATGGTGGCGGCATWTATTTTTRGTAGCAAAGCAGAGAAGKTGTTGCWTGTTCAAYGYGGTGTTGGYAGCCATTTTTTATGAGGTACAAGGGTGATGCTGCGCCGCSTTGCGACGAMKGCAACACGTTCAGATGGTAGCGTGAAAGCGCTGCTGAAATTTTGCGGCAACAACGCCGGGTTTGACGCTGGTAGTGCGGAAGCGCTGCTGAAAATTTGCGGCAGCAGCATTGGGTTTGACGACGGTGGTGCAGTAGCGCTGCCAGTTTCTCATGGTAGAGGTGGCAATATTTTTACACNGCTGCTGAAAATTTGCGGCAGCAGCATTGGGTTTGACGACGGTGGTGCAGTAGCGCTGCCAGTTTCTCATGGTAGAGGTGGCAATATTTTTACACCGACTATATAAGGCGGCGTCTGGGCATTAGCGCAGGGAAGGTAGCGCGAAGTGGTGGTGCGCTTGAAAGTGGTGTGAGTGCGACGCCGTAGTGGCACAGTGAAATTGGGGGTGTGCACCGGCGACGCTGTCAGATCACTGGGAGATGACTGGGTGTTGAGAGGGTGTCGCGTCAAGCGATCGTTCTACAAAGTAGTGTGGATCGTTTTGCGGGCGACTCATTGTGACGATTTTCTTCTATGGAGTGTGATTTTACACGGTCTTCTCGAGTGGGCCGTTTTTTTTTTAACTTCATTCAAGGTCAGTTGTTTGACTCAGACCCCTTCACACTCCTGTGTGAACCCACACTTGCTTGGCCCTATTCTTTGAATGTTCACTGGATAGGTAGAGAAAATGTGTGTTTGCGTGTGTGAATGAAAGTCTGACGTGAGTGTGAATTGCATTGTTTTCCTTTGAACTTGTTGTTTGATCTGATGTGCAGGTAGGTAGAAGAAAGCTTGAAAACAAAATTGCCCATGTCAATGAAAATGGGGACAGGGTGTTTGTCTTCTATCATTTGTTTGCATGTTTGTCACAAGAGAGAAAATCAGTTGACGACGATAAAAAGAACGATCGCACAAAAAAAAAAAAAAAAAAAAAAAACCTTAGTCGGACATGGAATCGTTCCCGATGTTACCCATTCTTTCCCGAATTACCACCTTTGTCTATGCCCGTCTGTCTGAATGCTTTTCTTCTTTGTGATTTTCTTCTTCGTCTAGGTTCACCTTGACGTCAGGCGGCAAGGGGTTGATCGTCTGCCGTGGTAGAGGCGTTTCCTTTCCCTAGGAGGCATCTGAGGCGGGGGTTCGTTGCCTTAGGGGCCGGCCCTGTGATCGACTCGGAGTGGACCGCACTGCGGGGGGATACCATGCTGTTGTGGCGGAGCCGGCCCGACTTCTGAGATCCGAGGTTCACTCAGGCGAGGACGAGGGGTATCCCAGACCACCTCCTAGGGGATGGACATGCGCTATTCACGGAAGACGTTAAGTCATGGTCGGCTTACGCTAAGGAGGACCGTCATAGTTTACCCTTTGTGGCCGTCTTAGGAGCCACAGAGGAATGGAGAACTGACGCCATAAGAAGCCCAATTCATGTTTTCGTTAGTTATGAGTGAAGTGCATGTAGGCACCATCTTCTCGGATAGGTTTGCACCATAAGAAGTGCAAGCCTGGGGTCATCAGGCTAGTTGACAGAAGGTAACGACTAAAGTGTTGCTTCGAATGTCTTTGTGTCGGAGGCGGGTACGTCATCATTCATAGAACAACAAGAGTAATTGTTTCCCAAAGGCAAGGTGGACCCTGTCTTTGGCGAAGTGATCAGTGTGTCAGTTGTTCGAGTTGGTCGATGACTTGTATAGGTGGTAGTCGAGTTA